AAATCAAAATAAAAGGTGCAACCTACCCATCTCGTCGCCATCTCAAGATCAACCTCAACTTTTACTCCCAAAACGGTAATCTAAGAGACAAGTTCGCAATCTTAAACATCAGTGAACTTCTAAATAAGAATCCAAATATTGACCCGTACAACACTTAAATCTCACAAGTCACACTCTGCAACCCACCTCACGTACTATGACATCCAAGCAACTTTGCTTACATTGAAGGATCCCATGACTCACACACCCTACTCTACTAATCCATCATCCCAAGAGTCCACTCACTATGCCAAGGAAACACAACACAAACTCTTGCCTGTGCAAGAAAATGAGAACTTTCGTTTCGGAAAACACCCAGGATCAAACCCTCCCACTGTTACTAGTCTCTAAGGAAAGGACTCATAATGAAGCAATGTGCTCAGATCAAACTGGACTCACTAGATCATGCTATTCACGTCTCCCATGCTCACAATGCTAACACCTTTCCCGTCGTAAGAAATAAGTCGTAAAGCTAATACAACATAGAAGTGCTCATGCTAAACAATTATACACCGAAAACATAATACCTATTCATGGGTTATTTAAATTAGCGCCTCACACATATAACATATAAGCATGTGATCACGTAACAAATTTACACGTAGGCAATTATACAAGCAAGCGAGTAAACAAGTAGGCATGCTGCTCAAACATTTGAACACTTTAACATGTAGCACATAGGCAAGTAAAAGATTTAGTATGCTTCTTCAAATATCTAAACTCGTAACAAATAATTTCATACGCAATGTAAACCTCCGCCCACGTAATCCTACATAGGCCTCTACCCATCGTCCTAAGGTTTTCGAACCATCGCTCTAATACCATTCTGTAACGACCCAAATCCTCATGGATCCAGATCATTAAATGGGTCCTTACCTGACCCAAAATCATCCGAGGGTAAAACGGCCCTTTCACATTAAATTTAAATATCAAAGCCCGAAAAGGGCAAAATGGTAATTTACCACAATTCAATAAATTGAGACTCAAAGGTACAACGGTTATTAACTTGTATCACATAGTAAATAAAATAAGGTTCGGGGCAATATAGTACTTTCGGGGGTTAAAATATAATTATGGCATTTTATTGGGTCATAAAATAATTACGTGCAACTTCAAATGGATGCCAAAGTGTAATTTGAGAATTTAAAATAGTAATTACATACAAAAGACGGAACCCGTCGACGTATATACATTACACGTTGACTAGTTTGGGCTATGAACAATAGGAAAACCCACTGCCAAGATACCGGTCGACATATGGGAAGCCATACGTCGACTGGTTTGGGACATGATACCGATCGACATTTGGGATGCCATACGTCGACTGGTTTGGGACATGATACCAGTCGACGTTTGGGATGCCATACGTCGACTGGTTTGGAACGTGTACAAGATTACCACACGGTAAGATACCGGTCGACGTATAGGGAGCCATACGTCGACTGGTTTGGGTCATTCACGTTCAAATGCTTACTGTTAGGATACCGGTCGACGTATAGGAAGCTACACGTCGACTGATTTGGGTTATCCTCACCCACTGTCCAAACACTGTGCCACTACACTCACGTACATAAATTAAGATACATTTCAACATTTAATTGCAATAATAACCACCATGTTGATAACGTAATTTACAACGATATACGGGAATTAATATGATACGAATTTAATTACATTACCCAAATGGTCATATACATGATAAATCCAAATGTTTTACATATTGCAAAAATAATACATTTTGTGTCATGCACTTTACAAGAATAGTTTAAGTCCCACAAAATACATTCAAAAATGCCTTAAGTTCCCTTACCTTTGTGGTAGATTATCATCCGCCAATTCCTTGCCATGACCTGAAAAATATTAATTATGTGGGGTGAGCAAATTGCTCAGTAGGTAACGCTTAAGACACGTCTCTTGTGTCCCTGTGAATCCAACCAAAGAATAGGACAATAGGAATGGGGATCATACATTGTCGGAATAACACAGCATAACAATAAGTCTCATTATAAATAATAGAATGCTATGGGATGCAATGCATGCCAATGTCGCTCCCCATTTTCGAAACCATCACTTTCAAACCGTTAATGTAACCCCCCTTTGGTGACTCCGCAACGCCGAGAGAAGGATTGGCTACTGTCCCTGACCTTTGGTGACTCCGCAGTATCATTATAGGGCCCAGATAGCTCAACCACGCTAGGGCAATCTCCCTAGTTCCCTCTAGGTTACATTAACCTACCGGTCCGTTGGTGACTCCGCAACGACCGGGTTTTATCAAAACACTTTCATCAATACATTTTTTCCCAAAACTCCCCTTTTTCATTTCAAAGTTAATTTTTCCCATTTCTTGCTCAATGTAAATGCATAGATGCATTTATGTCATGTTAATACTCATCATTTCACAACCAACTCAATTTAAGTAAGCAATGCATAATTTCGCAAGAATTTCCCAAGAAAATTCAATATGCTCTCATACAACAATACATCTAGCATAACAAACATATACAAATCATCACGTAGGCATGTTTTCCACATAAAACATTTAAGACAAGCTCTCACATAACCACATATACATGTTCTAACTATTTTTAAACTACAACTAGCACAAATAAGCATGTCTTGCAACAATTTAGAAGATGTAATTCACATAGGAGCAAGAAAATTGTGGATTAAGAGCCCCTACCTCAAATTAGTGCAAAACCTTTAAAATGGTCAAGAAATTCGAAGGCCAAAGGAAGCACCAAATCTAAAATTGTTGGTATGAATGCGTAGAGCTCGTCGTGCTTTTCATTTTGCCTCAAACGGCTCTCAATTTCTCCAAGTATTGAGTGAGTTATCTTATTTCTCAGATTGGAAACCAAAATGAAAAAGAAAAACAAGAAGCAAGAGAGGATAGAGAGACGCGCGGGAAAGAGAGAAGTAAGAGACCACAAATATGGTCTCTAACTCAAATTTGGGATGGTGGTGGGTCCCGCCACTATTTCTTTTCTTTTTCCTTTTTCTTTTCGCTTCAATTTTACACCACATACACACACGAGTGCACCACATGCAAAAACTACTCAATCCACATAATTTAAAATGTACACAATGCAAATGGACCCAACCACAATCCCGTACACATAATGTGAAAAGACGAAAATGCCCTTACGGCGACAAAATTCCGAAAAAATTAAAAATGGTGAAAATCGGAAACGTCACAGTTTCGTCACTTCAAACAATATTTTTTATCATCTTAACTTGAAGAGATAAAGAACTTTTAATTAACCAAAAATAAAGTGAGAAAGAACTTTTGATTTTTAAAATATGTGGTTGCAATTTCAAATTTTTTAAGGAGATATTAGAGAGAGAAATATAATAAAAAAAAGAAAGAAAGGAGAGAGAAGAGATGAGAGAGAGAGATATATGGAAGTGGCCTAGTTGGACAGGTTTTGTAGTTTCTATCAAAATAATCGGTCAAATATTTTAATTGAAATATTATTTTTCAAAATAAAAATATAAAAATTCCAATCCCACTAGTCCTATATTAGGTCCTTGCCTATCAGAGTGTGTATGTATATATATAAAGTGAATATGGTACGCGTGTAAGGGAATAGTCGGTGCACCCGGAATAGTCGAGAATCACACTGCAGTTTCTCAAGTTTCAGTATACATTTGGAGCTATATATTGTTTTGAAACTTGTTACAATTGGTTGTACACGTCATATTACTCATGCTAGCTAGGGTGGTCCATGCAACACTAGCTGAGAAGTGCATGTAACACAGGTGGATCAGATTTTCTGATGCTCATCAATCGAGACCAGATCATCAATTCAAATATTCGAATCAAAGCATTTCTAATTAATTATTTTGCGGACAATTAGTTTGGAAAAAGTATTCTTTATGCGGCTCCGCTCATCCAAGTCTTACTTATGGATCGGGCTCATCTGAGTTTTACGCACTCTGCACATGTAGGTATATATGTGCCTGTTGAATTTTCTTAATTTATTAATTATTAGAGAAAATATTGACATAAAAATATAAGGGATATAAATCTAACTCTCGGTATCACTATGTTCTCTCAAACTCTGAAAATGATTCCATATACAATTATCTTTACATCAACATAAAGACCATAATCTTACGTCAACATTATAAATTTGAATTTGCTCAGTCAATTGAAAGAAAAAAAAAAAAAAAAAAAAATTGTTTCCATTTAATTAATAATTAAAGTTCAGAATAACGTAAACTGAACTTTTGACATTATTCTCTGAACCTACTTTTAAACTGGAATATTTAAATTCATGCTTAACAAACCGAACTTCAAGAAAAATCTTCTCTCGCAAGGGTGAAAAGACTACCTTTTCAACAATATTAAAAATACCCTTTAACATTAATTTCCCTAATGCCAGAATCAGATGGTTGACAAAATGCAAGTAATACATGGCCGCAACACCTTGTGAAATTATGGTTTAATGCTGTGAACTGAAAATGTGCCTGCATATCTATATCACCAACCTTATTATTATATTTTAATTCCACGTCCAATTGGTCAAGACTATAAGATATATAATTCTTCTATAAACCAATCATTCATACACACACACACACACACACATATATATATACAGACACATATAACAACAACATTCTTACATGTTGGCACGTCATGGATATCCCAGACGTGCATCTCACGTATTTTGTTACTTAACCTAGCTAACATTTATAAATATATATATATATATACACACACACACGTACAAATTAAGATGTATATGCATAGGTCTGCTATATAAATAAGCACCTCCAATACCACTTCACCAAAATCAAAGCATACAATTCATATCTTTTTTGTTTTGGGCTAAGTTGAAGTGGAAGAGACAATGAAGTCTTGCACCACCTTCATTTGTATCCTCCTTGCTCTTCACTTGGTTTTTTCAGTCTCAGCCATAGATAAACTTCCTAAAAATGCATTTGACCTCCCCAAAATGTCTGATCCACTGAAAAACCCTAAACTGCCAAAAATCTCGCCTTTGGATAATATCCTTTCTTTCTCTCACTATTACAAGAGCTGTCCAGATGTCGAACGCATTATCAGCAGGAAAGTGAATGAATGGATCAAAAAGGACTACACTCTTGCCGCCAGTCTCATTAGGTTGCACTTCCATGACTGCGCTATCCGGGTAAGAATGCAATGTCCTACACATTACCCTCGGTCACGTACGTAACTGAGTCACGTGACATCTTCTGTAACAGTTTAAGCTTTTAGAATAGACGTTCACTAACATTTTGTTCGCGCATTCAGTTATATGACACCTTCTGTGACAGTTTAACTTTTTAGAATAGACAGTGACTAACATTTCTACATGCATTATAGGGATGTGACGCTTCTATTCTCTTGAACCATGATGGGAGTGAAAGGATGGCTAATGTAAGTAGGTCATTGAGAGGGTTTGAAGTGATTGATGATATAAAACAAGAGCTTGAGAGGAAGTGCCCCAAGATGGTCTCCTGTGCCGATATTCTTACCGCTGCAACCAGAGATGCCACTGTTGCTGTTGGAGGTCCGTTCTGGATGGTGCCCTTCGGGAGGAGAGATGGACGTGTTTCTCTTGCTAAGGAAGCGGAAACGGTGCCTATGGGTCGTGAAAAAATCACTGAGTTGATCGAGTTCTTCCAGTCCAAGGGATTGAATATACTCGATCTGGTTGTCCTCTCTGGTAAATTACAACTCAACTCAACAAAGTCTTTTCCATACACGTATATATAAAACTGTAGTTAATAAACAATATAAAACAACAAGTCTAATCATCATTCTTATTTTAATCTCATATGAATTGAATCAGTCACATGAATTCTCAGTCTCCAATTTTTTTATGAAATGGTTTTCAGGATCACATACCATTGGAAGGAGTACATGTGGTTCAGTACAATATAGGCTATATAACTTCAATGGTACAGGCAAACCAGATCCTTCCATTGATGTTCAATATTTGAATTTCTTGAGAAGAAAATGCAGATGGGCTTCCGAATATGTTGAACTTGACGCGACAACCCCTAAGAAATTCGACAATGTGTACTACACAAATCTTCAGAAAAAGATGGGATTATTATCGACTGATCAAATGCTGTACTCCGATTCAAGGACTTCGCCTTTAGTCGCTGCAATGGCTTCCCAACCCTCAATCTTCCAGAGCCAGTTCGCGGTGTCCATGGTGAAGCTTGGGAATATTCAAGACCTTTCAAGTGAAGATGAAGGCGAAATTCGAGTGAATTGCAATTATAAAAATTATTAGAATCCCACTACAAGTCAAGACGAAGCCGAATATTGGGTTGATTTCAGTTTTATCAATCCTAAACAGGGATGGTTGATTTTGTGTCATTTTTATAATTCATTATTGCATGTTTTGAGTTGTCCAATTTCATTCTTTTACAATGTTGTTATCAATATATGTGGCACTAATATACAAATTTAAAGAAAGTTTCAAGCATTCTCAAATTTTATTCAAGCTTCTCTCCCAAGACATATATATCTTCTAAGCTAGATTGATGTGCCAAGTGCCAACAAGTGCATTCTTCATGAACTTAAAACTCTTTATCAGTAAGCATTTTTTTTTTATTTAAAAAAAGAGAAATTATTAATATATGGCTTAATAATATATTAGTGTATATTATATATATACACACACACACAGAGGGAGGAAGCAAAAAAATTTGTTCAGGAGGGGCACATTTTGTAATATTGTACACCATAATATATATATATATATATATATATATATATATATATATATGTATTCGTATAATGTCTATGCATAAAACGGAATGTTTATTAGTGTATATATAGAGAGAGATAGAGTGATATTTTTGGGATTAAACTAATTATAGATATAGAATAAAGGATTAAGGAAACTATTTAAGAGGGAAAAAAAAAAATATATATATATATATATATATATATATATATATATATATATAGAATATTATAAGGGAAAGAGAAAATTAAGAGGGGGCACTTTCTATATTTTTATGAAAAACATATATATTATAATAAATATATATATAAAATATAGGAGGGGAAGAAAATTCAGGAGCACGTGCCTCATCTGAGGCTTAATTCCCTCCGTTACTGTATACACACACAGAGAGAGGGAGCAATACAGTATATCACAGCCACACAACATTATTGATAGAAGATGGCCCCATTGTTAGTGTGACAGCTTTGCCCAAAGTTTCAAAATCAAGACTTTCTACAATTTTGTGATTTTGTAATACACAAGTCCTGGGTCAGGAGTCAGGACTTGTGGTCCGCACGAGTTTTGACGGATTGGGAGCGGATGCAGCCCAAATTTGCGGATTCATTCTCTGAGGGTGCCATGTGAACAATTTCAATTTTTAGAATTTTCTGTAGAATTTGCGGATTCATTTTCTGAGGGTGCCATGTGAACGTCTCCTTCGTGTTCTCGAAACCTTGACCATTACTACTAACCAGTAAAAAGGGTAAGCTACCATTTTTCTGCCACTATATATTATTAAAAAATAGTATAACAAAAATAATATTTAGTACAAATAGTCGAACACATATAATATATAATATGTTAATATATAATATACAGACACTCTCGCTTTCAAATAACTTTAACCTTCAAATGCTCTTGCGTCCGTGCTTCCCTTTGTGTGACTTAAGTATACAACTGTTCATTATTCACCCAACCTATTGCTCATTCCCATATAAGTAAAGATTCTTCTGGAGGCAAATTATTCATAGTTACGCATATACTCTTTTTTTCAAGTTAGCCTTTCAAGGCAAACTAATCATTGCATGGCTATAATGAGCAGTATGCAAAGCACTGTAGCCTTCAACTTTAGATGTTCAAATCTCATCATTTCCCTCATATTAGCGTGCTTGTTAGTGTCTCCATATGTGGAGTTTGTCAAACTCAGTCTGGCCACTGAAGTTTCCAGCATTACATGCATTGACACAGAGAGGAAAGCACTTCTCACCTTCAAACAAGGTCTCACTGATCCTTCGGGTAGACTTTCTTCTTGGACAGGTGAAGATTGCTGCCAATGGAGTGGCGTCGGATGCAACAACGTGTCAGGACATGTCATCAAGCTCGACCTCAGGAACCCATTTCCATCCAGCAGCGGTGGTGTTGCTTCAATGGCACAAGGTGACACGACGGCCTATGAAAGGTCATGCTTGGGCGGTGAGATAAACTCTTCTTTGCTTGAATTGAAATACTTGAATTACTTGGATTTAAGCCTGAATTATTTTGAAGGAATTCCCATTCCCAAGTTCTTTGGCACGATCAAGAACTTGAGGTATCTCAATCTCTCTTCTGCATCATTTGGCGGAGAGATTCCACCTCATCTTGGGAATCTGTCGAGCCTGAATTATCTTGACCTCTATGCGGATTCATTGATAAATTGGGACATGGGGGAATTAAGCTCTGCAAGCTTGCAGTGGCTCTCAACTCTCTCTTCTTTGAAGTATCTTAACATGCGAAAAGTGAAACTCAATGACGTTGGAGCAGGTTGGCTGCAGGCAGTCAACATGCTTCCTAACCTCATGGAGTTGCACTTGCCTTGGTGTCATCTTCAGAGTCTTCCCCTCTCGCTCCCATTTGTGAACTTCACCTCGCTTTCAATCCTTGATTTTTCATATAATTCCTTCAACTCATCAATACCCAAATGGTTGTTTAACCTTACAAGCCTTACAAAACTTGATCTCAGCAGCAATTCTTTCAGTGGTGCCATTCCCAGTGAATTTGTGAACTCGATGTCTCTAGAAAACCTTGATTTGTCTAGTAATCAGTATCTTGGAGGCCAAATACCAAGCTTTTCAGGAAATCTCTCCGAGTTAAAAGTTTTAGACCTTTCCAGAAACAATTTCAGTGGTTCGATCCCAGCATCCATAGGAAGTTTGTCATCATTGCAAAAAATGGACCTCTCTTTCAATAGCATGACAGGAACCATTCCAGAAAGTTTTGGCCAACTCTCAAAGCTTGTCAATCTTAATCTCTGGAATAATTCTTGGGAAGGTGTTATTACAGAAGTCCAGTTGATGAATCTCACAAGACTAGAACAAGTCGTGCTAGGAACAACCAAAATCAAGCCCTTGATTTTCAATGTGACTTATGAATGGATACCCCCTTTCAGACTAAAGTCACTATATTTGGAAAATTGCCAAGTAGGTCCCAGATTTCCGATGTGGCTTCAAGTTCAAAGTGAATTCACCAGTGTGTACCTAAAAAATGTTGGGATTGAAGACATCATACCTGTGGAATGGTTCTCCACGATAGCTTCTCAACTTACCTATTTGGACCTCTCTAACAATGGAATCAAGGGGACTTTGCCGCACCAGTTAGAATCTCCAAATACAAGTTTTATCGACTTGAGTCATAATCATTTTGAGGGACCTCTCCCACTTTGGTCTACTAATGCCTTTCACTTTTCTCTTCAAAGCAATTTATTTTCTGGGCCAATTCCATCAAATATTGATGAATTAATGCCGCAATTGAAAAATCTGCATTTGTCAGAGAACCGACTCAATGGTACGATCCCATCATCGATATGTACAATGAAGAGCTTAAAAGTACTTTCCCTTAAGTCCAATCAATTATCCGGGGAGCTCCCTCAGTGTTGGAATGAATCTCAATCCTTGTGGGCCGTGGATGTGGCAAACAATAGGTTATCTGGTAATATTCCAAGGTCAATGGGTTTTTTAAGTACTCTCAATATATTAAAGTTGAGTAATAATAGTCTAGAAGGAGAAATTCCTCCTTCCTTGCAGAATTGCTCAAACTTAATGAGCATTGATCTTGGAGACAATAGATTATCGGGAAACCTACCCTTGTGGATAGGAGAGAATGCATCATTCTTTTGGATTATTCGCTTGCGGTCTAACTCATTCAGCGGAAACATCCCTCGAAAATGGTGCAATCTTCCATCTGTTCACCTCCTAGATCTTGCACACAACAATCTTACAGGTGTTATTCCAAACTGTTTGGACAATCTGACTTCTTTGGTTCACGGTAATAGCAGCAGAATAAAGCGCGAATCTGTCACCCGCCAGTTCTACTACGGGGAACAAACAACTGTTGTGGCAAAAGGAAGAGAACTTGAATATTGCAGCACTCTTGAATATGTCAATAGTATTGATCTTTCAGGAAATAGCCTAGTGGGTGAAATCCCTGAAGAGATAACAAGCCTCACTGCGTTGGGCACCTTAAATTTGTCAATGAATCATCTCGACGGACACATCCCAAAGAATATTGGAAACTTGCGATTGTTGGAGACCTTCGATGTTTCAAACAACAATCTTTCAGGACGGATTCCACAAAGCTTGTCATCTTTGACCTTCTTGTCTCACTTAAACCTGTCTCATAACAACTTGACAGGGAGAATTCCGTCGGGAAATCAGCTCCAAACGCTCAATGATTTATCTATTTATGAAGGTAACCCTTTACTCATTCTCTGTGGCCTTCCTCTTCCAACCAAGTGTCCAGGTGATGATGATAAATCTACTGTACCTGCTCCCCGTGGAAGTTCAGAAGGCATTTACAATGAAAATGATTCGGAAATGTTATGGTTCTATGTTAGCATGGGATTGGGATTCATTGTTGGGCTTTGTGGTGTTTGCTGCACTTTGCTGATGAAAGAATCATGGAGAAAAGCGTATTTTCGATTTGTAAGGATATGATAGCTAATATATCCGTATCAGATGTGGTTCTCGTCTAAAGAAATAAGGTCGGAAAGAAACTGTGTGTGTGGATTCGTAATGTTGTAGCTATGTGGTTCATGGTCCTCATGGATAACTAGCAGTGTTCATATATTATGTTCTTGTTCTGTACTTTGTCATGCATTATATATTATGATCTTTTTTCCCCGTTTCTCTTTATGGTATTAAAAGCATGACTTATCCTAAAGCTTAAGTTTATAAAACTGAGTTCCAAAAACTAGTTGGGGATTTTGCTCGTTTGGGAGGTTTTGCGAACTTGAGAACCTTCGAATCCTTAGACACCAAATGAACTCTTCCTAAGATCCAGTATGCGACATTAATAATCAGCAGATGGTTTCTTTATCTCTCATTTTTAACTCATGGGAAGGTGTTATTACAGAAGCTCATTTCCTAACTCTCACACGAAGGCAGAAGAGTTAAAGGTACATTGGATTGTCTTCTTAAACCAAGTCCTCGATTTTCATCTTGGGAAAACATAAATCCTTCCTTTCAGCTTCAAATCAATCCGCCACTAAACTGCTTAATGGCTTGAAACTCCACATGGACTCAATGACAAGAAGCAAACTGGAAGCATTTCCAGCTTAACCTCTCAAATCATTTCCTTTATATACCCAAATACGAAAAAGTTCAGTTTTTGGGTATCACGGACTATTGTTCCAACTGTTCATTTTCATTTTCCTTTTTTCTTTAATGATGATTGTTATAAACTTGATTAGAAAAGTGAAACGGGACTGGAAGGATGTCAATGCAGCAAACAAAGGATGTCTTTGAACTACATATAAAGCAAAAACCTCCCATCACCGGCACAATTTTCTACCTAGGGTAAAACCAATACCATAATCCATACTCGAGGCTTTTCCCTACTTTTTTAGCAAAAAACCTAAACTGCTTAATTTTTTCCTCCATAAAACTGAATCCAATTATTCTCTCATCATCACCACCACTTCTAATGCAGCTTCAGCTCCTTCAATAATGTCTAGGTACAGCTAAGGGTGCTTCACTATTTACAATAAGAAATGGAAGTAGCCGCATGCCCACATTGTAATTCATCGCACTGTCAAGTGTCATGTTTCAAGTTCAGGTTGATTAATCCGGTTGAACAATGATTAGCAGTCAATAAGCACGACAAAAATACTGATTTGTTCATGAATATAGCAAAACGACTTTCATTCAAATAAACAAGTTTCTACTATAAAGTCTACTAATTAGCATTTAGTGTCAATGACAACTCTTGTTCCAATAGTAATGTCTCAACTATTTAAAGTAACGTCTCACCGTATAGAACATTGCAGACAATGCAACATTGAAGCCAGTGATACCGTTGCCAATTATACACAGTTAAATGTGCTTCCTCCTGATCTTGCCCTTGCCATGACGCTTCCCTATTTTGCCAATTGGAGTCAAGGACCCCTTCCCTGTGTACTTATTGTCCTCATCCATCTCCACATCAAAGTAGTCAAGATCAATATAATGATAATCAAAATGCTAACAGATAATAGTAAATTATACTGTATATGTAACACTACTTTAGCATGATGAAGCCATGGACCATTAAATTATTAATTTTACCTAAGTATTCCTTCGCTCTCTATCATCTTCTTCACCGCCACCACATCGTGCCACACCCAACCACCACCACAGCCTGCCACACCCAGCCACCGCGCCCCAAACCCACAACTACAGAGCAGGCATTTCGACTCTCTGTGCACCTATGCTGTTGTTAACCACAGGGAACAACATATTTTTCATCAAATACAGTAAATTTCACATACAACAACAAAAAAAATTTCCTCTGATAATTTTTCAAATTTTTTTTCCTTGACATAATTACATATCCGAATTAGCTTTAATTTTTGAAAGTTTGAATGCATAGATGTGAAAATTTGGTTATTTGGAAACACATTTTTGGCTGGCCTGAATTGTGTTGGAGGAAATTCAAAGAATGTTAGTGTAGAAGGGTTCTGCATTCGCTCATTTTACTTCGAAATTTGAGGCACTGGGTTTACCTTTAGGCTTCTTTGCTCTTTCTGGGGTTGGAGTGTGATTCCATGAACTCCCCTGTAATTCATCAGCAGGAACAATCTGTTCTTTATGATCACAATCATCAAAATTCTCGTTTATGGGTCGAAACAAGTCCTCAAATCGAGCCAAGAGCTGGTCGGCAATGGCATTGTTGAAGGTCAATCTCACATCCGCAGCAAAATCAGATGGCGAGGCGTACAACTTCTTCGCGACATCAGCATCAGCAGGCGTGTTAAAGATCCAATTGTGCTTGTGCTTCTGGATTTTGATTCTGAAATCCAAAATTCGTAAACTCATAATGTCCACAAAGAACTAACCATTGGACGCAGGCAAACATGTGCAATAACATAGTGGCCCGATAGAAACATAAAGCCCAAGTAAAGGACAAGATCATTAACAGAGATTTGACCTAAGGCCCAGCTAAACAAACCCATTTGAGATGGGCCCCTCCCACAACAACCAGAAGCTTCTCCCGATCAGGCCTCTGCACACCCCGCTTGATCCATTTGGTGGGCTTGTGGTCGGTTTTGTTATGCTAGGGTATGTTCAGGCCAGAGTATGCATTGTTCATGCAGTGAGTGCTTGACCCTTAGTACAAAATTGTGCTCTTTGTAATCTTATGGTAAATAAGATCGAAGGTTGGTACCTTGGTCCTGTAAATTCTATTCCTGGGCTAATTTATGTAAATTCCAATAGGATTAAGGGCCTGTTTGGTAAAACAGTGATTTTCATTTTTTATTGTGCTTTCATTTGTGTATGGCAAATTTTGAAAAGATGCAGTGTTATTTTTATCAAAACCGAAACAGTTTGGTAATGTACTGTTGTTGAATTTTTTAAAAGAGAAAGAAGAAAAGATGTTTGGTAATTTTTTATTTTCTTAAAAAAAGTTGACTCTTTTATTTACTATTATAATATAATTGTAAAATAATAAAATAATATTTTTAATTTTACTATTTGAGTTTAATTAAATATATTTTTTAATTTTATTTACAATTTGAGTATAATTGAAAAATAATATTTTATTTACTATTAGAGTATAATTGAAAATTAATAAAATAACATTTTTAACTTTACTATTTGAGTATAACAAAATAACTTTTTAAATTTTGTTTACTATTATAGTATAATTGAAAATTAATAAAATAATACTTTATTTACAATTTGAGTATAATTGAAAAATAATAAAATAACATTTGTTGGAAAGGTTATTCTCTATAGAGAGAGAAAGATTACCATCACCCTATTTTTAAATGTATTTTCTCTTGTTTTTGTAGACCAACCAATTTGGTTTTTTCTTTTCATACCCTTTTAGGTAAATAATTTGCTGTATATCACCTTATCTTCGTCACAAGAAAAAAAGAATTTGCAAGCTTCCTCTTGACATGAGCTATAAATGTTTGTTTTCTCTTTATTTTCTAAATTTTATGGCAATTCATATTCAACTCTTTAATATTTTCCGAAAAAATGTGTATCTCCTCAATTTAGTTCTAAGAAATACACTTCCAGTTCCAGTGAAAAATATGCACAAAATCAATTTCACTAGTGACCTTGATAACTGAAATAAAGATACAATGCCAAAGGTTTTGGTGAATCTTAGAAAACTCACAGATATTAATTACACGTGTGGTTTCACTATCTATAAAATAGATAGTCAGTTTATCCGATCTAGGTAAAAGCATAATTCAAATTAGACTTACTGAATTTTACATTATTTTTTTTCTTCCAGGTAAAATATTTTTTTTTAATTTTTATTTTTTTCGTGTTTGGCAAAAGTCTACGTTGAGATTGAGATCGAGTCCATTAGGCAGGCATGTAAAATAACTAGCCGAAAATTGATGAATAAGTTAGTTTACTTAAATTTTAATAATTTTTTTCTTCATAAATATTTTACGACAACCAAACACTAAAAAAATAAAAATATATATTTTTTAAAAAATATTTTACATCCAAACAAACAGAGCTTACATGGTGAATATTATTATATTTGTCATGCCCCGAATTCTACGACTCGGGTCGCAAAAAAAAAAAAAAAAATATATATATATAATAATAATAATAATAAGAATAATAATAATAGATAATTAAATAAATAAATAAATATATTCACTTGAGCAAGTAAATAATTAATTGGAGAAAACCGGTGTAATCCACCACATAAACAATAATAATAATAATAATAATAATAGTTTCATAAAATAAATAATAGCATGATTAATTAACCATTTATATTAGACTATCCAAATGAACCCACATGTACACAACTTAAACAATAATTGTTCACTCTCACTGTATAAGTCATGGCCACCATAGCCTCATTACAATACATAAGGTGAGAAATAATGTTAAGGGATTACATGAGTAAAGATAAGAGAGAAAATTCCATAAGAACTCCAAAAAATAGATGGGTGAGTTCCTACGTCATTTCCCTCTTCCAAAAGAATATTACAAACATGTCATCAAATATAATATCCAAAATACACCATGTGTCAAAATACAAATCCAAAAACAAGTTACACAATGGATGTCACAATTATCACAAGTAGCTCCAAAATGTTGTCAAGATCTCAATCAAGCTAGGGATGAGGAACCTCCTCTTGGGCAATGCCCTTTCCTGAAAAATATAAGAATCAACGGGGTGAGCAACGAATTGCTCCGTAGGAATGTCTCATAAATATAAACTAGGTTTCTCAAAATTCTACAAGCATTGCATGGTCATACAATACAAGGAATATGCTCCCTAACGTCTAGTTTCAAGGAGAACCTAAATAGGATCATCCTAGCCTAGCATAAATAATATTAATTCACTCATCAAAACAAGCATAAATAATATAGTGTAATGTACATAAATCACAAGTTGCAATAACATATAAATGCCAACTTGAAAATAAAAGTTGAAATCAATTAACGGGATAACTCAGAACACACCCACACTCCCGGTCACATAGCCATGCTATGCGCCTAAATAAAAATAGTCGTTTTCAGATTACTAGTCCGCCGGAAACTAACCAATTGGCCAATATAAAGTGGGGAAACTCATGTTTCACCCGCTAGCGCCGAGCCCTCGCATTCTCAAGTAACAACCCCCGAGTATCTCCCAAAATCAACAAACAAATCTACAAATTAATCCATATTCCATGATATGCCCAAATTGCACTTCATATGCGCACATAAATTATATTAATCACACAATCCATGTCCTATGGTCCAAATCACTATAATGGCATACTCTTGATGCAATGTCAACAAATTGGGTATTTTAAAGTCATTTAAATTCATGTTATCATTATATCAAATTTCAAGTGTGTAAAAGTTTAGCATCATCATTGATATATACATCTTCAAAATTAACCTTCACAAAATAACAAATACATGATAATTCCCTGAATAAACACAACATATAAGGCACTTTAATTACAAGAAATTGTACACATTAAAATTTAGGACTTTAATTAACATCCATAATATCAACAATGGAACAAATAACATATTACACATGAAAATTAATATAAAAACTCAATAAAACATCATGAACATGCAATTAAATCATTATATAAGCTCTCTAATTAAACCTATTTGAGATGAACCCCTCCCACAACAACCAGAAGCTTCTCCCGATCCCGCCTCTTCACACCCCGCTTGATCCATTTGGTTGGGCTTGTGGTCGGTTTTGTTATGCTAGGGTATGTTCAGGTCAGAGTATGCATTGTTCATGCAGTGAGTGCTTTGTGCTTGACCCTTAGTACAAAATTGTGCTCTTTGTAATCTTATGGTAAATAAGATCGAAGTTTGGTACCTTGGTCCTCTAAATTCTATTCCTGGGCTAATTTATGTAAATTCCAATAGGATTAAGGGCCTGTTTGGTAAAACTGTGATTTCCATTTTTTATTGTGCTTTCATTTGTGTACGGCAAATTTTGAAAAGATGCAGTGTTATTTTTATCAAAACCGAAACAGTTTGGTAATGTACTGTTATTGAATTTTTTAAAAGAGAAAGAAGAAAAGATATTTGGTAATTTTTTATTTTCTTAAAAAAGGTTGACTCTTTTATTTACTATTATAATATAATTGTAAAATAATAAAAAAACATTTTTAATTTTACTATTTGAGTTTAATTAAATATATTTTTTAATTTTATTTACAATTTGAGTATAATTGAAAAATAATATTTTATTTACTATTAGAGTATAATTGAAAATTAATAAAATAATAAAATAACATTTTTAACTTTACTATTTTGAGTATAATAAAATAACTTTTTAAATATTGTTTACTATTATAGTATAATTGAAAATTAACAAATAATACTTTATTTACGATTTGTGTATAATTGAAAAATAATAAAATAACATTTTTAATAAAATAAGGTTTTTTTTTTTTTTTTTCAGGTAAAATATTTTTTTTTATTTTTATTTTTTTAGTATTTGGCAAAAGTCTACGTCAAGATTGAGATCGAGTCTATCAGGCGGACATGTAAAATGTGACGTTTCCGATTTTCAGCACTTTCCATTTTTCCGGAATTTCGTCGAAGTAAGGGTATTTCTGTCTTTTCACATTTTTCGTGTGGGATTGTGGTTAGGTCCAATTGCATTTGGTGCATTTTAATTTGTATAATGGTGTGACATTTAAATGGTGATGCATTTTATATGGTGTAAAATTTCAAGTAAAAGATAATGAGAAAAGAAATAAAATTCGTGGGGCCCACCACTAAATCAAAAGTGGTCTAGAGACCACAATTCTACCTTCTCATTTCTCTCTCCCTTAAGTTCCTCTTTCTCATTCTTGTTCTTGCTTTTTCTTTTTCATTTTACTTCAAATCTTTGAACCTTGATTCCATCTTCAATCTTTGGAGTTTTTGAATACCTTTGAGGCAAAACGAAAAGTACGACGAGCTCTACGCATGTGTACCAGAAATTCCAGCTTTGAGCCTCCCTAGGGACTTCGAAAATTTAAACCCATTTAAGGGTTTTGTTCAAAATCAAAGTAGGGGTTCTTAATCCAAGAAGTCTTATGCTTTAGTGAATTAATCCCTCTTAAATTGTCGTTTAGCATGATCAATTTGTTTAGAACATTAGTAAATTGTTGGTTGTTATGTGTATACATTAATTGTGCAACTATGTGTAGTAAATGAGTTATGTAAAGAGCATATTTATGGGATGATTTATATATATTCGTCTTGTTAAAATTATATTGTATAAAAGCATGTTGTAATTTCTTTAGAAATCCTTGTGAAACTATGCTTCGATTACTAAAGTTGAATTGGTTATGGAATAA